AACGTTTATTCTTTTCAGTTTACTGACGAGAAAGAAGAATAGACTACCATATTTTTCTCTCTGGTGGCGATTCAATTAGTGACTCGGATATTGTTTATTCTCGAAGGAGACCATATTGCATGAATAATCAATGGTCGCAGAAGTTCAGAAAATTTAATAATGGATATACAGTCGTGGGCGCACTCTACAACTTATAAACTTTTCGTCTGCACTTTCCAAGTATTTATTGAATTTATGATACGGTCTATTTTATATTGACTGATACTATATAGTGGTATCGAACTTGAGTTTCTCTTTGTCTGTAAAAAGTTTTCAAACCGAAAAGAATTGTTGGCGGGAAATATGATTCTTTTTGCGCATTTTTTTTTGCGTTTACTAATATCACTTTATAAATTTTATTGCAAAATATTAAGTGTATTAAAAACTTGTTCTAGAACGATCTCGCTGCTACTGGAAAAGCCACATTTCGATTTAATTACAGTTTGGCAAGAGCGTTAAGTATTCCGATCGACAGGGCGCACTTCACAAATAGAAAAAAACATCTTAAGCTAAACGAAAATGCATTTATGATGAAAAAGTCGATATTTTTATGCGTAAATCTCTATGCTTTTACACTACATTTCATTACGAGACGAATCATATTGTTCGAATAATTTTTGTGACAACGGAATCCTTTTTCTAAAAAAAATATTCTTAATAAAAGATTTCTACTCATTTCAAGAAATCAAATTTTTAAACTAAGCGAAATTCTTTCTGCATGAAAATTTTCTCAAGATTAAATTCTTATTTTCTTTTTGGTACAAGACATCTTCAACTCAAACTTTAAAAATCTGCATAATTCACGCGCCAGAAAAGGAAAAGTATATGAATCAAAGTATAGCTCAGAACGGTGTCGTAATTTTCGCAACTGGAATAATGAGTAGCTACTATACAGTCTGGGGCCACATACGTACAGAGACGTGAACGAGGCGGTGTAAGTGGGAGAGTAACATCGGCTGCTACGGAAATATTGGGCGTGCGTCGGCAAACGTAATAATTATCAAGAGCTCAAACGGTGTTGCTATGGTGTAACAGAACATAGACGATCGATTGTTTCTATCTAGTGGGCTTACGCAGGTACTCGTAGGGAGGGAATATTTCCAAGAAACCGTTGGGTATTGTATGTAAAAACATGGCTGTTTTATTGCTTGTCGTAACAACAATAATAATTACTACGAATTTTTTTCTACAAGTTACACAACTGGGAAAACTGATCGGTATTCTCATTTTTCAAAGGAAATTTTTTACAATCAAAGTTTTGCTCTCACCTTGTTTCATCTCCAAGTACACACGATTGGGAGCAATTTTCTCTGCGGCAAGACGATACACACATACTGACGAAATATTCCCCATGCGTGCGTTAACCGCACACACGTTTCGCAATGAGGACGGAAAAAAGTTTACTAGGTAGTTTTTTTTTTCATTGTTTCGCCCTTCTGTTGATGAGTCTGTAACAGAAGTTTATTCTCTGAAGAGTTGAGTTTATATTGTAGTTGTTCAACGTCTTGACAGGTTTTACTCTTTACACTTTTATTTGTTCCGTTGATATGAAAAATATCACCAGGCGTAAATTATTTATAGAGCCTTGACATTGATAATGCACAATTAAAATTATCATCGTATTTTACAAATTTCGTCGTAGACAAAGCTGCAAGTAAGAAGTAGAAAAAAATAAATGATGAATGATTGCAAAAGGCTAAGAAGAGACATAAACTACCCAAAATGATATCCTATATGCTGCGCATAACGACCAACTAATTGGAAGGAGGGAGAAAAACAAAGCAACGTAGAAGCCTATTGAAACGAGTAACTGCAATCAACGTGTATAATGAAAATCTGTCATAAGTGTTGTAAAACCGGCTCGTTAGAAGTCTTCTCGGGATCGCGAGCGTATGATTTTTTGCGCGCGGCCCTGGCATGAAACTTGCCAAATTGGGAATGACAATCGCTTCTCTCTCTCTTTCTCTCCCTCTCTGACATGAAGTTTCCTTGACATCCTTGCGAAAAGTATGTGCTCGAAAATTTCGTCGTTCACAGACACACATACACACGCGCGCGCACACCGAAGTTATGAGAATACAGATTGACCCAAAACAATTGAACTTTTTCAATATAACTTTGCTAATTAGAAAATTCGTTGAAGTGTAAAAATTCAATTTGCTTACGTTAGAGTACGAGTAGATCGAAGGAGTTTTACCATACATTATATAGCTTCCAAATTTATAACGCTACGTAAAGCTTAATAGTAACGCGAAATCTGCGCAGGCCATTAATAGAATGGTATTTTTTTCTCGCGACGAGTGTTCAATTAGCTATCTGACAAATAAATTGACACGCAAGACACCTTCTCATTATTATCTCTTCTGTATCCCACTACCGCTACCACCGACGTTCTCTCTCTCACCTCCTTCTCTTGTACACTGCTACCTACTGCCAAGCTCTGTCTGTTCACGATCTGTTAGTACACCGTCGGTATTTTTGCACGGCGCTCGAGTGTCGGCTGTGTCGTAAAATCGTGCGTGTCGTGATGTGTGTGAATGATCAAATTTCGATCGAATGAAAGTGCGATTCAAGTGCCTTTGTGGTCTATGTTTTTGATTTGGTTTTTTGTGATGAGCAAAGTAATTTCGGTGACGCTGTTGTTGCTTTTTTTCATTTGGCTAATCTTCGATAAAAGTGGAATATGTAGTGTCCGTAGATTCATCTCGTGAATTCCAATCGCTTTAGCAGTAGCTTTAAAGAAGTTAATCCAACGCAAACGAAGCTGCATCAATTATGAATTTAGTCGTGGTAGTTTAGTTAAAATAGGCATTCGATTTGTGCATTGCTGATTCAGCGATAAGTTGTCAAGTTTGAATCAATGATATTTCATTCTAGCGATTTTTCGAAGTGGACAATATTACTTATCGTTAAATCGATCATATTGTGTGATTCGATTTTCATCTTCCAGTGCCAATAGATAAATCAACTCCTAAGTTGTTGATTTTATTTGCAATTATACCCATCGAATTATTGTGAATTCTCAGTAATTATTGTTTTCTTACGTAATGATTACTTTTTCAAGTGAAATATTACCACGATTATGCTTATATCTTTATTGTTTATTACGATCGTACATTGATAACAAAAAAGATTAAGTTAGAGCGCACCACAATTGAAACGCGCGTATATAAGCTAGATATACAATTAAAAAAGCTAAAAAATTGCAGGATCATCCTCTGTATATATAGATAGAAGTATGTATATAAACGACAATTTATACAATACATTTTTAGAAAAAACAAATTTTGCTAGTTTAGCTTCCGATTTTCTAAGACTTCGCTTTTATATACTGTATAGAAGCACACGAGACTTATCATAATGCAGTACCAGAAAGACATTTGTCGACAAATCCGATTACATGTCTGTGATATACACGTGCTGCTGCTGTACATGGCATGCGCGAATATACGCGAAGCTGACTGATATTTTTATCGTTTTTATTTATTTATTACTTTTTTTTGAGAGAGTGCTTTTTGTGCTGTTGTAGGTTTTTTGACACCGAAAGATATTTACATAAGCTTTTTTTGAAAAGATACTTTGTGGTCGGAGACTAAAGGCTATTAAAATAATCGCAATACGTCAATGACGAACGGCAAAGTTTAATTAGTCTTTTTATCTCTCAATATTTTGGCTAAAGGCGCGATGTAAAATTCATTACTCATTAATTAAAATACAAAATTGTGCCGCAGTAATCAGTAGTAAAATCCACGAACAATGAGATGTATTACCGGCAAATGTAGCCAGATCAGAATGTTACTGTCACCAGCGAGTTTTAACGGGCACTTTGAAAACTAATTTCATAGCCGTCTAATTGAATAAAGTATCCCACGAGATAGCGATTCCACCGTGAAACACCTTCCATATTATTATCATTTTATAGTTTCAGCGAGCAAAATAATTACAGCCGCAGTGAGAGGTACTTTTACGAACGATTGACTTTCACCTTGTAAGGAGTTCCATTTGGTTTGTAATTTCGGCAGCCGCGTGTTACTTGATTGGTGGCATCAGTGTTTCAACGAATGATGATTTATCGCTTCAGCGCTCGCGGCAGAAAGTAAGTCAATAGTGCCGCTGCTGCTTTTGCTACTCTCCCGCGAGTGCACGAAGGACGCATCACCGTAATTTTGCTATTGTATAACTACTCGTGGATTTTTTTTAGCTCTTCGGTGATTATTTAACTGCGTGTGCACTGAGGACATTTGCAGATGATGTCAAGCTTTTTAGTCTATAGGAGGTGTGATTAGTCTTTGTAATGCTTTTTTTTCGTATTTTGTACTTGAAGGTTCATTTATATTTTCAAAAGGGATTGATTAATTGAATTTTCAAGTATGGAATGGGATCGAAGGCTTTGCGAATTTGTTTTTAATTCTTCTCTTTTTGAATTACGTGAGACAGCCTTGTTTTCTTATTCTTTTTTCATCTTTTTAAAAATTAAAAAACATTTTTTTTTGAGCGAAAATAATATTAGCATTGGATAAATTTTCATGTGTGCTTAAGCTATTTGAAATGCAAATACCTTTTTGAAAACAATCCTGAGTACGCTGCACAGTAATAAATGAAACGTCATTCCTTTGTACCTGGCAGCACAGTGTTTTATGTGCCAGGAAAAACGTAAAATTTTACTAGCGAGAGCATTTTTTTGAAATCGCATCAATTGTGCTGGTTACGTGTATTTTACTCTAATTTTTTTATCTTCAAAAGACAATGAAAAAAAAAACATTGCTTACTCACGGTCCTTATATTTTCCCATGTCACATGCGAAACAATATCAAACGACTGTATGTGAAATTTGCCGAATTAATAATTTTCGTTATATAAAATAATCATCTCCTTTCGTGTAGCATAAACATCGGAGTTTTGTGATACTTTTTTAGTATCCTTCGCCACAACAATAAACTTTTAATTAGGCAAAAGCCGCGACAACAAGCACAAAGACTTAATAATCTTATCTTGACGTTTTAATAAACGATGTCAAGATATTTCACCTGAATTTTTTTTCGTCTTTATTGTTCGTCAAAGAGTGAAAGTATAGAAACACACACACGCACATGTACGCACGTGCGCGCGCGCACACACACTCACATGCACATGCACATGCGCGCGCGCGCACACACACACACACACACATACACACACACACACACACACAGAAGTGGAAAAAGTAGGAAGTTCGATCGCGATAAGTCTGCCGATTTACAAACGTCAGTAGGTCTATTTTTAGCTGCAATGAAATAGAAGCGTCGCGTGCCGACTATATTGACTTTCGATCTGAAGCGCGCATAAATTCGGTGAGCTCTCTTGGTGAATTTCTATAATTTTTCTTTCCAATTTCGTTTGCGTGATGTCGAATTATTGCGTTGAACGGTATAGTAGCAGCTTAAGCGGCTGCGTACAGTCGTTAAAAAATACGAAGAATAAAATTACAGGACTACTACTTTTTTTATTATCCTCTCACGCTTTATGGACGGTTAATTATATGTAATATAATAATCCATATTCAACTACTGATCCCACATAAACTATTTTTGAATGTATTTTTAAAACTAATTTTTTTTTTAAATATCTAACTTTCAATTCCGCGACACGTGTATAGGGATATAGTAAAATTCGCCATCTGCTATAAAAGACGATGATTAAATTGTTGATTATCGTATTACACTGCAATTGCAGCAAAGTTTTTCCACGTGATTAAGCAAAAACGCGTCGATGCATAAACGCATAAAACTTACTTTGCATAAACTGCAGATTCCAGGCGGAAAAATCCTCGGTTGCGCGCGCTATTTAAAAAACAATCTTTGCTGACATAGTCGTCGGGTACGGATGTGCATTAGCAATAAAATCCAGACGCTACATTTATTTCGATGCATTGTTTGACAATTTATACGTTCGGTAAAGTGCAATTGTTTTTGTAGAACTTTTGTCTGGTCACACAATAAATCCTATCGAAAACAGTCGCTACAGATTATGTTATTGCTTAATTTTATTAATAATTAAAATGCGATCCATTCGATTTGCACGATTCATTTTTAAATTGTTTATAAGTTTCGTAATGACAATTCAATTGTTATAAATTTCTTTGAAAGGAAAAGCCTAGGCAATAAACAGCGAAGACAACTGTATGTGTCGTGACAAATACTGAAAACAACCAACAATTGTTTTCGTCAGCATGAGTCATAATAGTAATCGTATTTGTAGTCACGCCAAGGTATTAACATTAAAAATTCCCCAACTAAAACATCAGCATAAACGATCATATGCTAATATGACTCAATATAGAATATATTTTACAAAAAAAAACGAGTAAAATCACGAGCAAACACTATCGACACACCTTTATATATAAATGTGAGGGGAAAGGGGCGAATCTGAAGCGCCGATAAAAAGCCAGAGTAGCAGGCAGAAAAATAGCCACGAAATTTACGGCTTAGCCGCACGCACCTACTATAATACTACGTGGCAAGCAACGACTTGCCGATAGCGCATGAGAGCTCCTATGAGTTAATGCTTTTATGGCGCGAATTTTTTTTTACTTTTTATTTTTTCTGCTCTTTACAGGAGTCATATAGACGCGCGGGTGAAAAGAGGAATGATGAAGCGTGCAGTGGCTATTTTATTTTATCTTGTTTGCTTCTTTTTCAAATAGTGTCCTGCCAAGAGATGAGTTTTTTTATCATTTATTTGAATTACGATTTCAATAATTTTCGTTTACTCAATTTTACTATGGTTCCTTTTACGGTCTATATTTTTTTTGGTAGAATGAATTATTTCTACATCTTGTTAAAAACGTAAACTGTCGAGGGTCAAATTTGTAATTTAGATCTAAATTCACTTGAAAAAAAACAATGAATATGAAATTAGTTCCAATCTCATAATTAATTCTGACTCCGTTCCAGAAATTCCATTATCCTCAACAGCGCAAATATTTTACTTGGCAAATGTTTTTTGAATTCCATCGCAAAAATGAAAACAATGTCATCCTTCAGGAATGATGTTAGCTTGGATGACGTAGTGTCATTACTCTCGTCAAGAAGCCGTCTATGAAGAATATGCTTACAAAAGTCTGTTCTTTTTACATCGTTCCATCAACGACGGTATCACACCAAAAAAAAGTTAGGTCAAACAGGTAATATGAAATCCGTTGGATGTTATGAACACAATCAGTAGTGCAGGGAAAAACAAATTTAAACCGGCTGATCTAACGGTTTGAGACCGACGATTGATCACCAGACACTTGCACGTGTTGTAATGTAAGGTTCAGCGCTTTGCATTTGATTAATTACGATGTGCGTGTGCTGACTTCTATTTTTTTCATTATCTCTAGAGTTTTTTTAATAGAATTCCAATGCAATAATGTACCGAAAAAAAACCATGGAATTTTATAGTGAGTAATTTATAACGGTTTTCAATAGAAATCTACATAGCTGTGATTTACCGATGTTATTATGCAACAATTATTGCGATGAGTAATCGAAGATTCTGAATTCCATGCTCGTTACATAAGGCAAGAACCTTCAAAACAAAGAAACGAAGTGTGTGATTTGAGAAAACAACTGATTATGGCGTCGTGGTCGAAAAAGAGAAAAAAAGGAATTGCCAGGGTCGCCAAGCAGTGTAAAAAATATCTATCAACATACGTCAACGCAGCTTATCGCACCGATTGATTCGAGCTTCCGCATGTGCAATTGCGTGCTAATCGGTTGCTACGATTTAAATTTATTAATTCATTGTCGTTGTTTCACTGGATAGAATATATATTAGTAGCGTAAAGGAATGCGCAGAGTAAACGTTCGATTAAATTTTTTTGGCCGACAGAAAGTTATAAATTACAGATCTATTTGTGTTTCACATTGAATATAGGGAAATTGACTTTCAATTAACACGCCTAAGATAAGATAACGTGTATAGATTGTTTCTGTATACTTTGAGGTCGTAAAAAGACACTGAGTATTTGCGCATATACTACGTGACTTTAGCGTAGTCGGCGTTAAGACTCGCATACTCTCGTAAACACACAACAAAGCTGTAAACGCGTAATTGTCGGCGAGAGAGACACGAGATTTTCTTTAACGATAAACAACACAGGGGTTTTCATGAAAACAAATACTTTGAAACTACTGACCCACTTCGTTTGTGTCGCTTGTTCAAAATAGTTCGCGAAGTACTCGATTACACTTTCGTCGAAAAAACAAAAAAGAAGAAGCAACAATACGCGACACCGCAATTCCATCCTTTTATCTTTCCGTCCTCCATTAGTGCCGTGCGAGCGAGAGCGTATGTCGGTGAACAAAAGTGCTAACTTACAATTTGAATGCAGTTCAGTGAATCCTCATTAAAACTTCGAGATCGGCGAAGCTATGAAGACGAATAAGTCGAAATTGATTTGGTTCGTTCGATAAAGGACAAAAATTTTTTTAATGAAAAATATATAAGGCGTTGAGCTATGACACTCACGAAGCAATTGAAAAAAAGTATGAAGAAGAAGCAAAATAACCAGCAAGTAAACGGTGATGCGATGCCGGTGAAAAATAGAGCGTCGATCACCGAAGCCACAATAGTGCCGGGGATTGTACCTGTCAAGATGTCAAAGGATCCACCGCCACCGGTAGTAGCGCCGTTGATACGAGATTCAGGTGAGAAGAGACTTTTGTAAGTAGTTAAAGCTGGCTAAAGTGTACAGCCGAGTATTCTCGCACGTGTTGAAAGTTAATGAATTTATCGCTGAGTGGCCTAATTTTTTCGATGACAGCATAGTTGAAATAATCGATGAAGTTGCTGCTACAAAGGTGCTGCTACATTTTCAAAAGGAAACGAGTGACAGCGGCGTTTCTTTTTTTGCCCCTGTCTTCGATGTTTATTGACAACTCGACTGATGGGCACCTTGCGAGATGACTTTCTATACAAGATTCTTGAAGTCTGTCTTTTTCAAAACCTTTATTATTTTTTTTATTTTCTTCAATTTAAAAATCAGTTACATTCGTGAAGAAAATGTTTACCGTTGTTTCTTGTTACAATATGATGAATCAATTTTTTATTTAATTAATGACCATGAGGTTTGTTAAGTCACGTTTTCAGCAAAAGAATAATAAATATTTTTGTAACTTGTACATTTCAGATTCTATTCATTTTGTTTCAATTTGATAATGTCAAGGAAAATGAGAATATGATTGATTAGAAACAATTAATGTGGATAACGATGAATTATTATCGTTGAGGTTGCGAAAAAAATGTAGCAGCGCTGTAACGTTTAATTTTATACAGAATACTCGGTTGTCTATGCACGCAATCAATGCCGGAAGAGACTTGGTAGTGAGAGTGAAAGGGAAAGAGAAAAAAGGCCTTTGATGCAAAAAAACTGCAATCACAAACGCTTCTCCTTTTCCCGTCAATTACCATTGTTATTGTCTTATTACGTCGTCCGCTGCATTATACTTTTACTTCATTAGCAATCAGGCAGGAATACTCAGTCTTTCCTTAATGGGGGCGATATATGCAATGAAAATTTTTATTTGAAACATACGTTAAAGCTTTTGAAAAATCAACGATGGAAGCTTTTAATCTTTTGAAATTGACGAGGGTGGTTAGATACACGTGAATCAAGTAGGCCAGCAGTCAATCATTCAGCGACTTGGTGCTTTGTTACTGTCATTGACTGCAGCGCGCACCAAAGTATCTAAACATTCTATGATTACGTTTGTTACTTTGAACTTTATCGTTATTATATAGTTTTACAATGTATTATTAGTTCTTTTTTATTTAAATTCGAATTATATAATAAATTATTGACAATTAAAATACAAACATGAACGTTCGATTGAATCAATTCAAAGAAGTTAATGATCCATAAATTGTCAAAACATACATCCAGATGTTTTCGATCATGAACTTTTTAATTTTCTCGTTTTAATAACGCACATAAAAGACAATACAACCGGCTCTACTTGGCATCGTTTCAAAAATCTTGAATAGAAAAATTAATTCTACCGATAGCTTTTAACATTTATAACTTTCAATCCGGCATGTTTTCAAACTATCAGGATTAAAAAAATGAACAATCACTATTACTATTTCGTTGGATGTTTAAACTATTCGTCTTGAAATGTCGAATACGAAATCTTTTTTAGAATTCCAGCATATTGAAAGGCTTATACTTGCAATCAGTTGATTCTATCAACTATTGATTTCAAATCTAACGAAATTTCGAACTGAAGCGTTAGTTCCTGCAATAGATCAATGAATTCAGAAATTAGTTTGAACTCTCCATCAAAAGCTAATCACCTTTGACCTCGGTCCCTCTCTATCAAAGGCTCTCATTACAGCTCAAAAGTCATTTCTCTCTCTCTCTCTCTCTCTCTCTCTCTCTCTGCTGTTACTGTTTACATAGCACATCCCTCGTTGTATCACAAAGCTCCATTACCAAAGTAACTCGGCCAAAGTCTCTCATATACATGTATATGTGGTACAGGAAGGAAACAGGAGACGGCAGAGCCGACTATAGGGCCAAAGCTTGAGCGCAAGCCCTCACTACGCCGTAAGCTTGGCTCATTGTTAAAGGGGAGCGCAGATTTACCGACAGCCATTAACCACGGCCTCCAACCGATCCGGCGGAGCATGAGTTTCAGCAAGGGCATCGAACAGAAACCACCAACCCAACCAAATGCCACTCCTGCGCAGCCAAAAAATGGCTCACTGAAAGCTTTTAGAACCAGATCAGTGCAATGGTATAATAGTCTCAGTTCATTGGCGGAAAATGATGAGACTAAAGGACATTTGGCTGATAGCAAGGAAAGAATATTTCACGAGGATGATGCAGAGGAAAATAGTCCTGTAAGACACTATTTTTTAAATCATCCTAATGGTTTATTGATGGTAGAATCTGGTGAAAAAATAAATTTTCAAAATATTGTTTGTTGATAAAATACATCTGAAAAATACATCTGTTGATTATGGAGACGTAGTGTCATTTATGTATAATTTTGTTTTCCCGAAGTTACTTTTTTCAAATGTCAGAGAACTCAGACACGACTTAGCTGGGTAGCAAGTTTTGTAATAAAAGCGAATGAAATGATTTTACAAATCAAATGATTTCTAAGAATCATTAGGTATTTATACATGCATAAAATAATTAATTATTCCTTCTGTGTTTCTGGCCAAAACAGCTGAGAATCAACACTAAATAATAGAAGCAGTAAAAAATGTTGGGCTAAATGCATTGGCTTTACGCTGCAGAGTTATTAATGTACTCCATGTCTTTGTTAATAAAAGATCGAACGCATACACACACGTACGTACGTGAGATACGTACATGAGAACTGTTAAATGTTCTCGACATAGGAATTTTTTATTTTTGAGATAATACTAAAATGACGAAAACATTTTTGGTGATTTTGGAAATACCATTCATCATATAATAAGGACCTAGAACAGTGAAAAATGTAACTTCTAATTTTTATTGAGTTAATTTTACATTTCGCTACAAATACGAGTAATTAAACTTTTACAGAAGTAGTGAATTACGTACGAAACACGTGCTATTGTACGTGTGCGATTCACTACTCCCATAAAACTTACGTTAATGACTCCCGTCACATGGACATTTAACGTGAAATATTCTTAACTTTCATGATTATGTAAGTTAAGAAGTTATTCCATTATAATTCCTTTTTCGTATTGCCTATTTTAGTAATGAATATTCGTCAAAGTGATAAGAAGTTTTTTGATAGAAAATTTTTATCATCGGTGACCAATGTGTAAAATAATAACTATTAAATTCACAAACAAATCGTTCAAAAACTTGCCAGACATACCGAATAATTAACGTACCAAAGGCGCCAAACGTAATAGATAGGATATACACCTGATTCTACGCAGGTTTTCAGTCGCAAAAGTTTGTTGAGAGTGTTAGCTTGCCTTTATTTGCGTTTCCGAGTAGTCTTATATTTTTAATATTAAGCTATCAAAGAAAATAATATAAAATGAAATATAATCATTATCATTCGTGGCGAATAGCAATATATTGGGAGAAACTAGCAGGACTCTGGCCTTACCGTGAAAAAGTCTATAACAATATTATACGTACTTGGCTTCTTTTACTTATAATATCAGTTTCCATTCCAGTGGTACGTTTCAGCATTATACGATTAATTTATAACGATGTACAATATTTTAAGTGATTTAGAAAATTTATTCAATTCTATAGGCAGCTAAAATAGTAGAAGAATTCGGTATAAATGTTAAAATTGTCGTTGAAAATTCTTTTGGAGTCATGCTTTGTTTGGGTGTTTTAGCGAAGGTGATTGTGGCAATCAGATTTAAAAATAATGTAAGAATTAATTCGCATGTTTATCAATATTCATTATTTACTTTATCACTTCAACTTTTAAAGAGAAAGCAAATCTACGATACGATTTTCAATCATATTAGTACCATCCGTGATCTAGAAGAAGCAAAAGTCTTACAAGAACATTATGATTACGGACTCCGATTTAGCTTTTATTATGAAGGTATACCCACATATTATGCAATTTTCGAAATGTCATGAAATATCAACTGTGATTTATTGAACTTGCGTATATTTAATTATACAGGTATCATAATGGTTCTTGTTATATTGTTCCACTGTTTTCATATTTTAATAGTTATTTTTAACTATTTCTTTAACGAAAGCGATATGATAAAAATGATTCCGTTTCATTTGGAGTACTTTGTAGATGAAGTAAAATATTTTTATTATATATGTGTTCACTTAATGGTTTCTTCTATTGCTTTCTTCGTTGGTATCTTTGCCTTTGACTGCGCTTTTTTCATGCAAATACAACACATTTGTGCTTTATTTAAAATCGTTACGTAAGTATACCAATGTCGTCTCTATTGATTCTATAATTTAAACATGCACATTTATTCTGTTTATTTAAAAAAATCACTTTCTCCAATATCCATATATGAAAGTACGTATTATATACTTTAGTATATGAAACCTTTGGTATATGGTAACTAGAAAATGGAATCAATTTATTTATATGCTTATACATTAAAATTTATTCATATATAATTATTAATAACTTTTAAAAACTAGACTAAGACTGGAAAGAACATTTAAATGGGAAACTGAAGACAATTTAAATATTTGTAATTCGACGAAGAAGAACAAAAAAGTATATAATTGTATTTTATCAGCAATCAAGCTTCATTTAGAAGTAATAAAGTAAGTATTTTGCATTATGCGTTTTGACCTGTACCTAGTGATTGTATGTACTTTCAGGATGGTAGACTCAATTGAAGAAATTTACAATATTTGCATGTTTGTAATACTTGTAGAAAATATGGTTGGAATTGGAGGTAGTCTCTACATAGTAAGTTTTTATATGATAATCAACTAGTTTATATATATATATATATATATATATATATATATATATATATATATATATATATATATAATTTACAGATACACATGTATGCATATGATTTACTTCAAGTAGTAAAATATTCAACAATCTTCATAGCAGCTGTTGTACATTTCTACGTAATGTTTACGCAGGGTCAAAATATCATAGACTCAAGTTTATGTGTATTTAATGCTTGGTAGGTGCAACTGCTATAAGAATGTAAATTGTTTGTTTATAATTATTTGTTGATATTGTACCATTTTAGCTATAACTGCCCTTGGTATAGCTGGAATAAGAATTTACGCCAAATGTTGTTCATAATTATGGCACGGAGTATAAAATCATGTAAGATTACGGGTGGATTAGTTTTTGTTATATCTATGGAAACATATGAGAAAGTAAGTTATGTTATTATTTGAAGTGATTCCATAGAATTATAATATAGCTTATATAATATATTATACTTTTGAGATGATGAAAATTGGGTTTTCATGCTACGCTGTATTTAAGATGCGAGAAGATTTTTCATGAAAGACTATTAAGAACATAGAAAACGTTTTTTAAATTACATTACACTTAATTAACTAATGAAAACAATTACTCATGCCGGAACTGTAGAAAATCCAACAGGAATAACCCAAATTCTTAATTATAAAGCTCATATTTACCACGTAAAGTAATAATTTATACAATTACTATATGGAGTCTCTGATATATTGGTTTTAATATGAATTCTGAGTTTTGACACCCTTACAACATACACACATATGAGAGCGTTTGGTCACAACTATTATCGGAAGAGCTTTAAAGTTATGACTGATAATAGGCTTCAATTCATTAAGTTGATTGAGCGAGTCATTTATTCAAGATTTATAATTTTACAAATTTCTTCAGCATTAATAGATTTTTTCACGTAATTATTTATGGTATATACGTTTCCTTAAAATGATAAATTCCGAAAAAGTGCTTGCATATTTATTACAGGTTTCAATTCAAAAGTGATCTTAAGAAATGAATTTTCAATAGAAAATATTTGGTTGAATTCTACTTCACGTTTATTTGAAAAATTTATTCCAGAATGTCACATAAGTTTAAAAAATTATACCGTGTAAATTAATTGTAATTAAACTAATTAATTATGTATATTACAAATGTATATTGTATATGTAGGACACTCAATAAAATATAACAAATAAATTGAAAGCTTTGTAAGCCTTTTGAAACTTATTTAAAACCAAAATTTTTTTGTGTTATATTCATTATTTGAGAGTCAAATTATAAACGTCTTATTATTTTTGATCGTCTATCGCCTAAAAGATAACTATTGAGAGTATTCGAATAAATTGACGTAGGAGAAAAATATAAATTTTTAGTACGCGAATGTAATTAAACGGATAACATCTAGAACATCAATTTAAAATAGAGGATCATAAATCCGAAATCCTATTTACAATAAGCAAAAAAGAAAATAAATGTCTCAGTTTTATACGAAACCGTGGAAGGAGAGCATACTCACTTATTGTAAATCCAAACTGAAGAAATAGCAAGACGTGTTCTTGCTGCATCTTGACTTCAGACAAAAGGAGGAGCGGATTCCTCGTGGAACGAGATTCAAGTGGACGCACTCGATTAAAATGCTTCTTGCGTTCGGGATTTGTAGAACTCGATATAGAGATTCGCCTAGTCGATGAAATTGAAACCTGCCCACTCGAGGATGGATGATCCCTTGTTTTCCTTTGCCCTTCTTTCGATAACTTTCTTATTGTTTACATAGTTTCTTTTCTATCATGCCGTGCGCGCGTACCATTTTTCAAAGTTCTTCTCGCAAGTAGAAGCTTCGAAATTTAAAAGATCTAATAGTAACTTTGTTCGTCTGTTTCTCAGTTGCGTTCTCAGTTATTATTTTCGTGATTCAATCTACTGGAGCGTTCGATAAAGACTTTGTAAACTGATAATATGCTGAAAAAATAAAAAAAATCACTGGAAATCTTTGCCCTTTCAATTGTTTATTTTTTTATTTTATGACATGCCATGGTAATAAATGTTGCAAAATAACAAGTTTCCAAGTCACAAATATAAAACTATGAAGTCACTATGTTTTATCCATAAAATATTCTATTCATACAGCTCATCAGTGTTAATATCGATAACAAACGAAAATTTGTTCCTAAACTTGATATACCTAATTTTCAAACTCGATGTTCTCTCGTGATCAATAGCTCATTATTAGCAGTAAAGTAGTGAAACTAGGGAATAATCTACTCAGGAATATAGTCCAATACAAGGAGAAATAGAGGGCAGAGGGGGATACGAATTTTCATACTCGCGGCCCGGATAATCGCGTAACCTGCTTTCGATAGCCCCGAAGATCGAATTACTACGAGACCGAGTTCATGTACGTGCTGGTATGCGAGTATTTACGCGAGCAACAGTTAATTAAATATCGACCCTTGGCAGTCAGGAGGCACTCGCTCGAGCATTTCCAGCTATATACTCACATCACTGCCCTTTCGCTTCCATCGACCAAGATATGTGACTACCCTTCATGGTTATTTTATATAAGAAGTGGGTCTTCTACCATGAGACATATTTAGAATAGAACATTGCTTTTTATGAAAAATAAATAAAAACATTTATATTATGATGCTGATGAATTTTTCTCATGCGTCAATTCTGCTAAATCTTTTAAACGACATATAAACAAAAAAGTACGACGTTTGTAATTTGACTCTAGAATTACATAAATATTTTGAAGAATGATACAACGAACTTATCAAAGATAAATTTTTGAAAAGAATTTGTACATTCATGCAAAAAGTCTTTGTAACGTTCTAATGAGCTTGATTTACGAGATTAATAGTTTGGAAATATAATTTTTCTTGAATTTCCCTTTCACAAATAACTTTTCTATATTTATTAAAATGATAAAAATTAATTTAAACTTTCAAGACAATTAGATTATAAATATGCAATTATAGGATGGACCTGTGATACCAAATAAGTATCTTAGAGCATAAGTATGTTAGAAGCTCGATTAAAGACAATTAGTATTTTAATTTTCGCAGGAAGCAGCAGCCACTGACTTCCTGTTCACTGTCGATTACTTTCTCGCATTTTCCTCCAATCTGCGCATAAGCCACTCAAAGTTTCTCATTCACTAATATCTGTGCTAGTAGAATCAGTCACTCAAAAGCTTCATTTTCTTTTGGCAGGAAAGGAGAAAGAAATATTGAGAAGACACTTCAGATTATTAAAAAAAAGTTTGAAATCTCAAGAAAGTTGAAAAATTTAAGCAGAGAAAGACTTATTTCGTAGCCATTCTCTTCATTTGTTATTGATTTTATCCTCTGGTTAAAAAGTCGTATTTTTTTTCACTTTTCGATACGTGGGAAATTCACTTTTCAAAATTATTACCGTTAGTCTTGCATGAGATAGTTGACATTGATTGATTTATGCGAACGTCAGCTGTCAATTTTAAATGGCGAATTTTTTTACGAGAATAGAATATTTCATCAAATATCCATTCGTTTTCCATTCGTCATATGTTGATTTAATTAACATATCTCTGATTCATGACATATATACATGACCTTCAAACTTAAGTTAGATTCAAAGCAATAACCGATCGAACTACTCGTAAAGCTTCAAAAGCTCGCCGAAGCAAGATTGAGCGTTTACAAAGTTTCTTGCTGACAAGATACGTTTCATCGATTCGCGAAATTTTTCTCACTCAAATATCATTTCAGGCGAGACTTAATGCAGATTGCACTTTGCATCGTCTACTTCCTGAGAGCGATAAGCTACAGCACTATAAGTGAAGGCTACGAAAGATTGAAGAAGTAATTATACAAAACAAGTTAATTCCTTGAAAATTCCGGTGCGATTATCTCTTGCTTATCCATCTTTTCCTCACGATGAAACTTACGAGTATCTCGTGGTTCGTGAATGTTACTAAGTGCAATCAAAGTAATATTAGTTGTCTTCTTATATCGAAAGAAATTTCGTTATAATTGTAATTAAATTTACGAGCTTGATCTTCTTTTCGTTGATTAGATACAAAGAACAATAAAAAAGAATCTCATTTTATCCCCACGGCCTACATTCACCGAAACTAATCATCGACGATTAGATTTATAGACGTATATATGTATTTGCCATGTGTATTATTGGTAAAAAGTGCTTGATAATTAAAATAACTCCAAAATCCTTTTACTTTAAGAGCAACACATACACGCGCGCGGACGCGCACACACACACACACACTCATAAACTGTCCGTTGGAAAATATTACGGTCCTTTCTTCTTTTTCACGAAGTGTTTCTACTTTAGCTTCGCGCAGTTTCTTGCGCGCACTATCCGGCGCCGTGTTGTGCGCGCAGTGCTTTTATCCCGCTTCTTTGGAGAAAATATTGTGACTCATATTAGGTCCGATAAGCCTTTTAATGCGCTCCGTATCTTCGCAGCTCTGCAATTTCTGCTCTTTTATAAAAATGTCACCGCTGGTACTGATGAGTAGAATTTCATTATCTACTTCCTCAACGGTTAGGCGGGGGGATTTCCGCAGTAAGTGCGTACCTTTTTTATTTTACTAAAGCTTGCCTGTTCCATACTTGCATACTTTGTTCTTCAACTCAAAAAGAGAATCGTCATATCTACGCAAATAAAAGATAAAAATGTTTACACTTTTATTTCAGTGCGTTTCATTTTCACATATATACATAACGGCTACCCTTCATCCCATCATTTCTCATTCGCTCGCGGGCGGGCAGGCGCGATTGATGTTTGTTCAACTTTTTCAGGCATAGCGTAAAATCTGAATTTGCGAAATATACATCATCAATACACGCGGGATGACTCTTTTCAATCCAGGCGCGCGCGTGCGCGCACGAGAGATAAGCTTTTATGGGATAAGATGACAAAGAAGGAAAAAAGGAGTGATACACGCGTCATAGCGTGATTTTTGAAATTTCATCGTAAATTTATCTTTGCCATAGCTGACAGCTATTCTATTTCTCTTTCGTGGTAGCAAGGTATGCGCTTACGCGCCTACTTGCGAAGCCTTTTTAAAACGACATGTGCACTTGACACCATGCTACGTACCATGCTCAAGTGCATGTTTTCCGCCTTCGAAAACTACATCTGCGTTTTCCATTTTCTGTGGGACTATTGAGTTTGGATGGCCGTGTGCGTGTTTGTATACTTATTTTCTTTGATTTATTGTGCTTCAAATATATTGCTACGCTTAACGGGAGAAAATATTTCAAAAATATATGTTTCGTTTCTTGAGATGGAAGTGTTAACTATTGCAATAATACTCAGTAGAAAAATCTGTTCATCACTATTTTTTATAACAAAATTAATTCTTATATGATTTCTTATTAAACCAATTTTGATGAATGTTCATTATTCCATGAACATGTAAGTTCATGTTTATTAATAAATCAAGTAACTTTAAGTAAAATAATAACATGATTACGTCTCATTCGAGAAATATTTGTTTAAAGCTTGAATAATAAACCTGTTAATAACGAAAAACTGCAAAAAATGATAATACTCTTAAAAAAATTGATTTCTTTATATTTAAGAATAAAATTCTCAATTATCTAGTTTTCTATTCTCTAGCGAAATATCATTTCAAAGTCCAATAAACAATATTCATTAATTCTTATGCTATAAAACATTGTCGATTGAAAAACTCTTTAACGTATGTGAAATTAAAAATTGTCCTAAAAAATATTTAAAACATTTATGCTAAATGACGTGACGCTATATAGGCTAATACTCGAAATAGGAATTTTCAGAAAGCTGTACTTTGTCCTCATCGGGAGGCGCAAAAATTTTTCGCAATAAAAATCATGAGAGTAGCGCGCAGCTGAACTGGAAATCTTCTTTTCAAACGTTCACACACACGAGAAAAATAAAGTGTTTTTCACACTGCGTTATTAAAATCTATACCTATTCTCTCTATTGTTCATTGTCTTTTTTTATGGAGATAAATGTGATTATGGGGATTAATTTCTATTTGTGACTGAAATGAAGGTATACATACCAAGTATTAGTGGTAGGATGATAACTGATGTTTTGTATTAATTTTCATTTGGCTTTATTGGCATGCCTTCAATTAATACTGTAATAATTATAGACACGACAAGTATTCGTAATAACAATGATTTTTCAGTATTGAGATAGCAATATTTACTCGAAAGCATCATCATTTGTCATTTTCTCAAAACATATTTTTGGTATAAGTCTACCCTATTTCTAAAAATAGTTTTCTAAAATATCGATCGAACGTGTAGTATTGATTATTTACACGGTGTTTATGGAAAGGGTATTCGCTCGAGCACTAACAAGAATCAGTTTACTGGTAACGTTATGAAATTGAGTTTATCATGTCCCGTTACATCAGCGCTGTTAACAAGTTTAGCTGCTGAAAGTTGTCGCCAGCCAACAACTTCGCCATATAAATTATACGTTAACAATACTCGAAAATTAAAAGAAACTATTATTGATACTTGTACTATAGTTTTTTAATCGTTGGTACTTGTAACAAAGTCTGTGCGATGTGCAGAACATATTTTTTCCAAATCAATTGGCGTTCAAGTGCGAAATCCCGTTAGAAATTACTTGAACTTTCTCGTGATAATTATCATGTTTTAACTAAGTAAATTGCAATAGACACTAAGGAGTATCATTATCCATATGCATGTAGTGTCGTCAGGTGTTAGTTGGAGACTGCAACGTAGTTCAGATATACTACTGTATTGGTAGACAAGTTTATATCAGAGTTACATTGGAAATTTCGGTTAGTGTTGCAATTTCCCATCTGTGGCCCGGAGTAATCGAAGTGAACGTGCAAAACTTGCTGAATTATATCAGGCTAAAGAGCAGACGGAAGTCCGTAAGTTCGGCATAAATCGTGTCGATGTTGCTCTCGATTATTCGAGAGCATTATAGTCGGTACCATGTTAACTGTGTCGTTAAAATTCCATTGTCGGATATTTCATTTAATTCCTTGAATTAAGATTTCTAACCCAACATCTATCGCAACTTCTTGAGAAAATCTTCCTAATTTCAATCTGATATTGAGATTATGACTAATTTTTCAGAAGAGGTATCGAAATCGAGAACTGTTAAAAATATTTTTAAGTTATATTACGACTGTTGAATGATATTACGGTAGCGAAATAGTTATGGATGTAATTTGATAAAGACTTTCGATGCAACATTTTTTCCAATGAGTACCACAAATTACACGTAATTCTACCATCCATCCATGAAAAATATCTCAGAATAGCAAAATAACGATAAAACGACGGCACATCTGATTGCGATGAACTGAACGAGAAAAAGTAGCAGCGTACGAATTGGTCCTGCAGTCGCCAGCACTCGGTAATTTCAAGCGACTTACGCGCGCGTCCTTATTTACATTAATCACGGTCAATTGCTATCATGTTTATATATATATATATTGTAACGGGGGGATTAATCTGCAAAAATGGGAAATTTATATAAGAGCAAACTCCCACGATGCAGAGCAAACCGCCGCTCCGTTAACACGTATGTTAGTACGTGTATTCGCCTTAACGTCAGCTGACTTAACTTGGTTGTCTTCGATCAAGCAGAGTTGAACTCACCTTAAGTCACGTGCTTTGTGACACACGATGAGTTTGAAGTGTGAGCGACTTTACTCCTTCTCCGCTTAATCCCCTAGACGTAATAGGATTAACACCTAAGCCTATCTCAATTTCTTAAACTATTAGGAAAATCGTATGACGAAATCGGCGAATAAGTTTAACAAAGTTTATTCATAAAAAAATCTATACAGTCTTTGTCGGGCCGAAAGACTGACGCACGCGAATAGGATTTACAATTAATTCACTTTCGATGATAAAGAGAGAGAGAGAGAAGATACGAAAATTGGCGCGATCTAACGCTCGGCGCGAATACAAAATTATCAACGCTAACGCGGCTGAGCAAAATAATAAATATATTTTGACACGCGATAATAAAGGGAGGTGCTCCTACCCTGCGGTGCAATTACGGTGATCAGCCGTAATTGTTGATGCCAATAAAATGTATCAACTGCCTCCGGAACTGTTATATCGGCTGCGCTGTCTCGTACCGCCTATCAGCTGCAAATATGCTGCTACCGTGATGCTGTAATCTGCCGATCACTTTGTTGCACTCGCGCGTGTAATTACTCTTGGTAAAACTATCACTAGGCGAGAAAAACTTTGCAAATAAAAATCCGGCGATATCCTCTCGTAACAACAGCTGAGGCGTAACTGCTAATTTGAAAGATCGCGCGCCCCCTCTCTCTCTCAAAACTTAGAACTATCGCGCGAAATTCAGAATCGCGAACGGTTCGATTAATTGAATCGACTACCGTTGCAATATATATATATATTCTTTTTTTCGCACGGAAGATATCGATGGCTATTTGTTGTTCGATCGTGATTTACAGGCTTACAAGGAATATTTGAATTTTTTATTGCATGAGTAACTGATTCAGGATTCGCCGCACTCGACAAAACAACGGAGGTTCCGTTTTTGCGAGTGGTGAACAGAAAAAAAGTTAGAAAGAAATATTTGCCGTTAGATCGTTATGTTATTCATAATAGCTTGTAGCTATTTTATAAAAATATTTACACAACTGTTATAGATTTAATTTTTCTATTAACAATAAGATAGATCTACTTTAAATATATTACAATAATATACATTTCACGAATTTTGTATTAATTTAATAAAGAGCGATGAATAATTTATTAGCTTTGCCTATTTCATTGTGCATACGCAAGAGGATAAAAATATCAAGTATGCAAAAAAAAATTTAAATTACATTTCGTGAATGCAAAAATTAATTCAAAATCTGATAAACGAATCACGGAATTGAAAAATTTTCTTCTTCCTAATCTAATATACTTTAGCTGAACACCATTAGCTTTACTCCAGCTTTAATCCATCCCTAGTTCAGCCAATTACCAAGCTACTCGGGTTTTAAAAGAATTTGCACAAGTAAACCTACGTACAGCTGTCTCCATGCGATCGCTGTCTGGTATATAAACAATACTACGTATAAAAAAAAGTTTCAATTCCGCTTCGTTTTCGTTCAATATTCAATTAGCGCTCTTACCAAATATTAAGTATGCATACTCTTAACTTTTTGATTTTATTATTCTATGTCGTAATGCCCAGCAAAAAAGAACTTGGCTCACCACACACGCTTGTGATGGCTTTTTTGCTGCCATTAACAAAAACGAAAATCTTACTTTCATGAGTTTCATATAGCTTATTTCATTCATTTAATAAATATGAAAAATAATAGCTTTAATCGAACTTCAAATTCGGGTTTTCAGGTAAAACTTCGCAAACTATACTTTGGTTTATTTTTTTCTCAAAATTTCGCCTTTTACCAAGTTTACATGTATTATTTTGCAATTTTATTAGTATTGAGTTTTTATATAATGCTACAGTGTATAAAGCTTTATAAGGAATAAAATATTGAGGCAACAAATAAACCAAGATATTATTCTCAATCTATTGTTATATTATGATTCGAATCTGAAATCAACTTATCATTATAAATTTTTGTTTTATGATTAAATTTTTCCGAGGAATTTTAGAACTTCTAAGGACACAAAAAGTATGTTCCGAGGATGCGTAGTGAGCTAATATCATACAGAATGTGAAAATCATTTGATCAAAAGCACGCACACAATTTGATAACTGCGCCGAATGAAATCTTTTTTTTTTGTGGAATCAGTCGTATATTGCATTTTTGGTCGTGATTACTATTACGAGTTCATGCAATTGAATTTTCATGTAAACGTATATATGAGTTCAATTTTAATATAAACGTATAAATGTACTTAAGTGGGTAAATATTTACAAGCGAAAATGGAATGAACGCCCAAATGATTATTATTAATGAAAGCAGGACTTTAATCGACGCTGCGGTTGCTTGAGAGCGTTATTTTCGGTATTGTGCACCAGCACCAAGGAGCTTTACTTTATAGCTCTACTAAAACTGCATCCTATTTGTAGTATACGCAATCTTTTGTTTAATCTATAGTATGTTAACTTCCACGATATGAATATCGTAATAGTTCCTTTTTGTTAATAGTTTTCGGTGAAAAATTTAGTTCGCAATAGAGTTGCGATTCGAAGAACAAATTTCAATTTCAAGATTTGCAATTACTAGTCTATTTAAGAATCTTTCATGTTATGTAATCTACAGGAAAGATTAATATTTATACAAAATCCCCCTCCTCCCAAATAGAACTCAAAATTATTTTCGAATGTTTTTTGCAAATTGTTTATGTTCAATGTTTTGTTTCCATACCACTAAGACACCAAGCAACTCGGAAAAGTATAAGCAAGCCATAGAAGACGCACGCAAGAACACGGCATAATATCTATAGCGCTATATTCCCTAAGGTCCACTTCTTCCGTGTTAAAGTGGCTCGCCCACGCGAGCTGCACGTCTCGCCAAGTCTGTTAACGGCCGTCTTACCCCCTTGTACGCTCGTTATCGTTGCCAACGGCATTTGCATCTACACGTACCTTAAAAGCTCCTCTATTGCAATTGAGTCTGACATTTCGGTTTATTTAATAAATAATTTGCTTTTAACATTCTTTTGAAATCGTCGTTAATGAATTTTCTATATGTGTATTTTCATAGCGTGAATCGCTATGATAATGTAGAATTACATTCAATAATTACAATTCAATTCCAATCTTAATGTGATCTCTTGTGGCTATTCACAAAATCCCTAGATAGAATTTCTAATCAGATCGCGCATTTTATAACCCACCGCGATGAAACAATTTTCAATTAAGCTAAAATTCAACAAAACTCAGTAGGCACACGTGTACGTGACCATCAGCATATGCTCTTATAAACTGGGCCCTGTCAGGTATATGCTTAGTCGTTTAGATCTTCAATTGCGATGCGTGTGCAACGGTCATTTGTTTTACGTAACTACCACGCGTGTTGGAGATTTTATGAGCCGTTGTAATTTAATAAAGATTTATGGAACTCGAGGGGAGTGAACGTGCCCGTAAAAAAATCTCCTTTTCCTGTCATCCTTGAAATATATTGACTTTAATGGAATTGACATACTCGCTTGATCGTCATGTGTTTGCACATTACTAGAATAAATTGATTTGTTTGGATGAGGGAATATGTAGACGAATGGAATTCAAATGTTGTCTTGTCTTTCGTAATGGACTTTCATTTGACACGATTGAGTTTGATCTTCAAATCCGATATGTTGCATGAATAATAAATTTTCACGACATTATTTATTCCTTGGTTGATTTCTTACTTACATTGACGAATGTTTTCACAGGAAGTGGTATACAGACGGAAAACAAACAACAGCAATTCGGCTCTTTATGGACGACACAGTGATTGCTATGATTTCTCTATAGGTAAGAAAACCAATATTCTATTTTCATTTATTCCGAATAGATATTTTAATTGCAATCCTACACCATGGAAGTAAATTAAAATGATCCATCATTGCTGTGTTGAATTTCATCTGCATTAAAAAATAATTACATTGTGGATCCTATAAAGCAAAGCAAAAGTAGCATGCAAAATAAAACTGTACAAGCACTTGGCAATATCCATTAATCGCAATCGCTGTAGCTAGCATCGATTTCTCTAATGAGGCACCTTTTGTAACGAGAGTAGTTTGTTTAATCACGGGAGAGGCAAGGGGATCGGCCTGATGTCTGCATCTCGCTTGTCCGATTTCCGCGTCTCTTTCGTTTTTATACCGCGTGCGCGCGAGTGCCACTGAGATTAAAAAAGAAAGAGAGAGAGAGCGAGAGAGAGAGAGAGCGAGAGAGAGAGAGAGAGAGAGAGAGAGAAGACAAATATATAAATAAAACAAGAAACTCGTAAGTGCTCTCTGGAAGCTTAGTCAGGGATTACACGCTACTGTAATTTTGTGCCTTCCACCACAGCTACGTTACAAAAAATACGTCTCCTTAATGTTTCGTTAGAATTAAAATAAATACTTTACCGATATAAAAATCAATTGATTTTTCAATAATAAATATTACAGTTATTTTGAATATATAAATATTTTTTATTTGCAGACTTTAGTAAACCTCCGTGTGAGGCTAGTAGCCTTCCATCTCTTACACGTGACATCATTGATAAAGAGGATGCCGAACCGAAAAAGAGGTGAGAATTTCTATACATTGGCATCTAATGCTGAATCAACCTTTCCTCTAAAAGATAAAAATTATATTCGTTATTTTAATATGATTATGTTACATAAGTTATCCAGTTTCAATAAAAACAAGTATTTGTAAATTCAGAACATCGATACTTTTCAGGCATATTCTTGGATGATAACGTAATACCAATCAGTGTAGCTAGTGGTAGTAGCTTTATATTTTACCATAAGGAAGGGGACAATGAATAGCCAAGGCATTCAATTAGCCGCGGTCATATTTAGGATTTATAGTATGAGAGAGCCGAGGGTCAGATTTGCAACCAGCACGCGCCCACGAAATAGCGGATCCGCTATGACCAGCGAGCTTATATCTCCTGTATTACTTATGCGTGTGCATCGCAGATTTGATATGATCGGCTTATCTATTTATTTCTCAAGGACGCGTGTTCTCACTCTAAGATAATGACGCATATGTAAAGGATTGAACATATGCATTTTCACTAGTTGCATTGACAGTCGTAGTTTCTTTTCGTAGCATATATTTATCTTCGCCTTTCAATTTTTTGCCTAAACACGAACGTAAATCTAGAAGCGAGGCTGCGAGTCAAAGGAGTCTAACACGGCGGTATGAAAAGCAACGGGAACCACTCACTATGAAGTCGAAATTGCACATTTAATACAAGTTTCATAAATTTTGGTTACAGTTATCCACACGTACGAGAAAAATCGTTTTTATTCAAACATTGGAGCGGCATTAAGATTAAGCAACATTGTCTATTTGACAATGGGAAAATTGTGTCATTTTCAGGTCTATTTTTAGGCATCAAAAAGTTTTAACTGTCAGAAGCACTATGTGTCGCAATCTCATCTGCGCCGGAAATTCCATCTCCCGCAAGAAACTTTATGAAACTAAACTCGAACTTTTTTCTCGAAGTATTCGCATCCTGAAATCGCTCAAAACAATGAAAAATCGTTATGCACGTGGATGGAATTCCAGCTCGATCAGTCGGAAGTTGAAAGAAGAAGTTACCACTACGCAACCAAAACTTTTAATGACGTTGCAGGCTGTCACGAGCCATTGTCGTTTCCGTTCAACCATTCGATCGTTTCATCGGAGATTAGCGAATCTCTGTCGAACGACTGCTTTATAGAAGTGCTTTATCGTAAATGATTCATAGGCGATTGAAATTTGGATAACGACTTGAAAGTTTGAAGAAACGGAAGCCTATATTGTAGGAACTTGTTAATTTGTTAAGAAAAAGAAGTACCATTTTACATTCCCTCATTAAAACTTTCCAGCTAAATCCTGGAAAATTAAACCATTATCGCGGAGAAAGATTTGTGGCTAGGTTGTTAGCTATCATTCATTAAAACATGAGCTTCACTTCAGCTTCTTATCTTGCACCATTTTTCACAAAAAAAAACTAATCCTCGCAAGGCAACAACTTTTTTCGCTCTTTTGTCTTGACTCTCTACGGCTTATCGCGTTGAAAGCATATCTTTCTCTTTTTAATTCTCAGATGGGCATTATTATTCTTCAACAAAACATTTAAGTTATGCGCGCTACTAAATATTTCGTTCACTAGCAAATGAAAAAATAACCGACCATACTAAGGCGCAGTTACAAATCAAGCGGAGAAACTCAAATTAGATTTAAAGGCGTTTCTTCTCGCAAATCTATGAGCCGTAAGTTCCGCTATTATCCTCCTCGCTTGTTCTGCTTCTTTTTGACATCATTTGGAATGAAACTTGATCCTAGGCTTTTCTTTTGTACTTACGTTCGATACTCATATTCAACGTTGAAAGACTCGTTCACTCGACTTGGAGTTAATGTTAGTAATTTGCTAGGTAAGCGATTAAGTATTTATCTTAAACGTCTACGAGTGATGAGCAAGAGGACGTGCCAAAATAAGGTTACGCTGACGTAAGTTTATTACTTTGAAACTAGGCAGATTGCGACCATCAAGTGTCACGCGCGATTATAACTGTAAAAGATTAACTTTTAGGGCGCATTATCTCGTAAAAACGAAACGAAACAAATGAATAAACGATTGGATATGATTAATGCACGTAACAGGTATGCTTGCTCTCCTTCATCCGACAATTCATCACGAGCGTACGTATATCAGTGTTCGCCCCCCGCGCTAAACTGCGAATATCGATCGTCCGCGGCGATGAATTGAGCTTGAACACGAAATCCGCATATTTGTTCTCATTTTTCATTTTCCAGTCTTTATACAATGTCTGTCGGTACTATTACACGTTTTATTTTTTTGCTAGTTGACGCTTTTCCTATCGACAAATTGCTCCTGATTAGATTTCTAGTTCAGCTTGTGAGATCCTAAGGTAAATTTGATAAATGTCATAACATCTTGCAGTGCAAAAACGTGATTGAAATTTGGAAAACGTCGTCAAAAATCTTGAAGACATGGAAGATTGTTTCGTGCTCTGAAATTAAACGAAATCACTTTGATTTCGAGATAATACTATACTTCAGATTTTTATATCAATCTCCGTATAATTACGTACATCTTGAAAACCTTCTCTAAAAATATCTTGATCTTTACACATAGGAGCTTGTCTGTGCAAGTCGACTTCGATCTCTTGCCTCTCGAAGCATCAGCCTAAGTCTCAGCTATCGTTCGTGGCAGTTTTATTGGAATCGATATATGCGCACATACAACATCAACGTTTGTGCCTCACAGGAGTATCAGGCAGGTGATTTGTCGTCTATTGCGCACGAGAGTCTGTAAGTCTCTTGGCTTGCTCTCATTTCTCTCTTTCTCTCTCACGTGAGTTATTTATTACGGTTTCAATGAACGGGCGACTGCACGTTTCCAATTTTATCGGCGAATCCCTCGAGTGCGTCACCTCATAGTCTACCTGCATTTCACGATTGATCCTACTTCCCGCCTTCGTCTCAATGCAAATAACAATCCGAGACGTTAATATGCGTAAGCTCAGCTAGAAATTCAACTATTTGTAGCAATTGGCGCTGCGGAGAATTATGATTGCTCGAAGACTTACGATCTGCTAAAATTCGAAACCTGTTACAACTTTCGCGTAACTAGGTAGTTAGACGCGGCACAAAGCAAAAAAAAAGGAATTTTCGATAGTTGGCTTTACGGTGATAACGCCACTCTCGTGATCTCCGAAAAGTAGGCCACATCGAATATTTGCGCGAGATAGCGTATAACATCTTGCAAGCGTGCAGTGGCCTATATGGTTATATATTATACATGTCGCGCGTTATTCTTAAGTTTAACAATCGCGGTAACATTGTTACAAAAAAACTAAATATCAGAGAGAAACATAAATGCGTAAACGACATCAATAATAATTACAACCACCTTCGAATAGTACTAACGAGTAAACGAAAGTGAAACGAGGGATTATCCTGTCCTCGCATACTCTGAGTAAATATGAACATGCCATCAAAATCGACTTACGCTCGCTGTTAATTTACCTCGAAGAAAGAGCGGTTTCATTTCGCGTAGTAATACCCTTCCATATTTATATTTCGGAAGCAATATTTCAAGCGCAATATTTAGTAGAATTTCTGACAACGTTGCAAAAAAGAAAACTGTACTTGCCATTAATGGCAAACGCTAATTAACTACTTGAGATGAAAGCGCTGATTGTCGACGTTTGTCATCTGACGTCAATACAGATGAATTTTTGCGTAATTAGATACTTCGACTGTAATGAAGGTGAAAGAGTGTCGATTTACTTTTATTGCAAAAAAGAGAAAAGTTTTTTAATTATATGGACTCTGATAAAAGCGATAACAATTCAAATACTTCGTCTGAGAGAAAACTTCGTTGCTCTGTTGGATAAAAAAAACTGATAACAAATCACTGGTGATACTTAATTAATCTTCAAGAAACTCTTATAATTAAATGTAGTAAAATAAAAATTCTCGATAAAAGAAAAGATAAAATATTATTTTAATTAGGTATTAGCCCATTGGTCAAAATTGAACTGAATGTTCTAAAATTCGATAGAGTACAAGTTGTAACCTTTCGACGAGCAAGGTATTTAGAACTAGGTAGAGAAAGGGAGAGAGAGAGAGCATATTTTATTTTCAATTTGACACATAACTTTGCAATCATAGGTGGGTGGAGCAACAGGTCAAGAACGGATGGGGCAACTTGAGGGCGAATGCCCGGAGCCTCTCGGTGCTACGTGGCCTGAGCTTCTCAAGTATCAAACGGAGCACAGCAGTCAGTCAATCGGTGAGTTTTGTCATTTTCTCTTCTTTTCTTCTTTTTCGGTGTAAGCGAAAAAATCAAGTGATTTAATGCAGGAACTACGAAGCGTTAAGTAGAAACAAAACATACAGCTAACTATATGCTGTTTGCTCTGCATATTCAAGTTTTGCACGATGCCGTATAATTTTGAATATTTCTCAACCACACAAAAGGAGATGTCGTCGGAGGATCTTCACTACGTGAAGTGTGGCACAATGGAGATTTTCGGAACGTATTCTACTTTTAAGTGTCTTGAGAGACCGAACCATAAATATGTAGAACACTTTCGGTAGTATGCGCTTGCAAAATGCTCAATACGAGCAAAAGATATTATTGTTAGGTGACGATTATAAATATCTCTTGAAAAAGAAAGATCGTTATAATTATAGCAATGATCCAGTTTTTTTGTATATAATGATTAGGGTTAACAAAGACGACGGATTTTACTATTTTCAAATAAACATTTCACGACAAACATATAAATTACTTTTTTACCCATACAAAAAAGTATAGATAAAGTATGATTACAAAGTATTGTCGAAGTATGACAATGGTTACTAAGCCACACTTTATAAAATATGGGAAAAACCAGACTCTAGTCGAAACTTTTCCGAAAAAATGGATAAATATCAGGTACTTTTCTCGTATTTTATAAAATATGGCATAGTGTTCATTTTGATACTTTAGATACATTCTGTCCATACTTTAGCCACACTTCAACCAAAACTATTTCCTCTCGTAAACACACATTGACGATTTCTAAGAACTTGTCTAGAAATTTTCTAGATCGAACCAACTACATCGAGATTCATGATCCACTTTTTCATAGCTCGAAAGCAATATGCAAGCACAGATAATATAAGAATAAACATAAAAAATTACGTAAGTTCCATGCATGATGCTTCTAAGAATCAGAGATTTTGCCTGCGCTTTCGAAATCGATGTATTACTCATCGTAAAGTAACAACTCGACTCTCGACATTGATTGAAAGTTTAGAAAAGGCGAAAGGATTGGGATTCGTTTGACTGATCTTGAAATATTCAATTATATCTTGAAATATTCAATATCCGCCTCACCCCTGGAGGTATATAATGTAAATATTCATGGCAACATCACAGAAAATATAATATTAAAGAAAGAAGATATTCGGGTGAAAATTGAGTGGTTAATATTTTTTGCTGATGTTACGTTTCGTGCACGCGCAGAGAGGTAACAAAGAGCATCGATCGAAACAGATTTGATTTGGACGTCTAAGGTGCTTTGTATCTGCCTTCTGCTTGATTCAATAAGTCCCTGACGAGACTACAATTTATCATTCAAGTTTCGTTTGTCATGCATGAAAATCTTTCAAATGTATAGCGAATCACGCTGAATTTGAAATCTGCGAAAGATTTCATTGCTGGAAATCCTGATGAGTTTGTTGAAGACATTTTATGTAAATACATTTATATAATTGAATACTTGAAGAATTTCATGATTGTATAAGAAATTTTCGCTCAAATTTTCGAAATTGAAATAGAACAAAACAAATTCTTAATAAACATTTTCTGAGTGCTGATTTATATTTGCTTAAAAGTCTTATCCGGACTAAAATTTCTCTAACGTTTTCTATTCGAATTAAAAAAAAGTCAGTATAATTTATTCAGCCTAACAAGTATTGTCAATCATTTTCGACACCATTCCCCGAAGAAAACTAGCACTCACGGATATTGAAAAGAAATAGTATAGGACGTAACAAGAGATTGCGCTTTCGCCAGGGTCTCGACTTATAAAACGGGAATAATGCAGGTGAAGGTCCGGCAGACCACGTGGTTTTCGTATGTGAAAAGCTTTCGCGGTTTCAGTGACAAAAGAATGGAAATTGAAACACTGTTGGACGCAGCGTGATGAGGAATTTCAAAAAATGAAACAATATTCTTTTCCACGCGAACAAGTTAACTTTGAAGATGAAAGCGAGACGAGTTATATTGTTGTGACACGCCACACGTATCGCACTCATATGACCGAGCACATTCACTTTTGTTCTCTCTTTTTTTAGTTCCTATTTATTTCTGCGCTGTTTTGTTTTTCCTCGCCACCGCGTTGTTATTCTTCATTATACCGAACTGTGCCTTACTTCTTATCATACTCTTTATTATTCTCAAACTTGCATCTCTTTTCACTTGCCCTCGTTTCGTCTTTTATTTTTTCTTTTTTTTTATCTTATTGTTTGTATCTTTGATGCATATCTTTTTAATGCAAAAGTTAAAGATTATTTATGCAAGTCGTTGTTCTCTTGTGAATTCATCATACAAGCCTCGTTCGTTATTGTAAGGTAGGTTTTGATGTTACTTGGACAGTGAAGGTAGCTTTGCAAGTTTAACTAGCAAAGCAAAGTATACGGAAACTTGCTTTTAAAACGAACATTTCTCAAGACGAAGTTTTTGAAAGGAAAGAGTTAGCTTTTGCTATAACATATTCTTTTTTCTACCATTCTCCAGATTCCATTTTCCTTTAACAATAGACCGTATGGATTCTCGTTTATTCAAATAACAGTAAGACGATACAATCACTGGTGCAACAAAAGCTAAAGCATAAAAGAAGAAGATAGAGTCACAAGTGCTATTATAGTTTTGCTAATGAGCTAGTTTTAATTTGTGGGTTTACGTATACTCAAGAATAGTCGATGGTGAAACTAGCGTGATTGCTATGTCGCTTAGTCTGACAGAACGAGTGGCTTGACCACTGACGAGTAAGATAGCTATATAGTGCGTCCTGCTTCCTTGGATTTCTGCACTACTCAGCACAAACCCAACCATGTTTTTACGGTTAATTATCTGTAAGAACTCGCGTCAGGTGTATGCCAGGAAATCGACTCAATTAACGGTAAATCGAATGCCCTAGCGAGAGATAATTAAAATTTTCACTAATTCCGATAATAAAAATTCCAAAAGTGATTAATTATTTCGTGATTAAAAAAAAGTGATTAAAATTTCGATATTATTTGCCAAATCATTACATTCGCATTGTGGTATTTCGATCTCCGCAAAATCACATGTTTAATAATTTGGCAAATTTGTATAACTTGACAATAATAATCTACAGAGAGGGATACATACCTGAGCGGAGCCAACTAATATTTAAAGTATGCTGGCAGAGAGTACACGAATACCCTCACAGCTAGTCGTGAAATATGGGAATGTCCGTGCGCTCGCGTGGTGATGAGGCCGAGCTGCTGAATTCTCGGAAAACTCGATTAAGCAAGCACCAACTTCCGCGTGAATTTCAGGTCGTAAAACACGTATAAACACGGCATTAATCCCAAAGCATCTCTCTGTAATGTTATTTCAACCAGCCTTCGGCGCAAAAGAGATAGGATACTTATTGGCATGATGATCGATTACGACTGCACGAGCAAGTTATATCGACGAACAAACAAAAAAATTGGCATGTATGGGAGACTGCTGCTGATGGTGACGATCGACATGCGAAGGGATAGGCTTTTCATGCCAATTTCGATGATGAAGCTTCCAAATAACCCACTGACGTTTTCGTTACTTTGCGAAATGAGCGAGAAAGGCCAGCGTTCAAATTCCAAATGCAAATTACGAGGAAAAAAGAAGAACAAATCTCCTTTACTGATGGCATTGTCCTGCTGAACAATAGAACAGCCTCCGTCGATAGGCAAAATCAATGTAGCAGTTCCGTACCCAATTCGTAGTAAATTTCCCTTGCAATTTCGAGTAAAGATTAGAAACCGATGTCCGTAAAACCGCGAGCGAATCAAAGCAAAATACGCTGCGAGCATCTAATTGGACCATCGTTAATAGTGGAAATGGAGCATTGAAATAAAAACGTTGCTCCTCTGCGAAACGTCGCACTTAATTGAATTGTCGCTCTCTCCCTTCGCCTCTCTTCCTCTTGCAGTCGGACGTCTAATCTTGTTGGATAAAATCAACGGAAGGAGAGAAAATGAAACGGGCCACGTGAATTAAACGGTAACTCGTTCGCGTTTAATAACTAAAGCGATTGCAATAACCGAGCAATCTAGCAACCCTTCATTTACTTTTCACCTTATCTTTTTAAAGGGGTAATTCGGTGATTCGTTCGTCAAATATTCATCCACTCTCTTCTTTCATATTTTGCTCGTTAATTAATATTGAGCGTGTCTTCAAACCGGAAAATCTTGATGTTATTTTTCCTGTATACTGTACTATCGGTTGCATCAACATACTTACAAAATTGTTAGACTTCTGTATGAAGACTGGTAAATTTCATTTGCACAAAATCTGACTTCATTCACAATCTTGTCGTATTAACAGATATATTTATAAATCCCAGAAAATACAATAAAAAAAGTTTAATCTCGTTCTGAAATAGATAGAATCGAGCAGCGACTGTTGTAGTAAATAAAAAATGAAGCACGAACGTACATTGTATCTTGTATGTTAATATTTTAAAATGTTTACTGCGCTCGCTGTCGCAGATATCGAAAAAACAATATCTACAAAAATCATTGGTTTGGCATTGTCGATTTTCGTCGATAAGCACGCAATTTGAATAAAAAATTAGTAACGTACAATTCATCTAAATTGTTGTAAGTTCAAGCGAATTTGGCTATGTCCTCGTGGGAGCATCCTACCTCATAGATACATACACTGAGCTCTGTACGACGCGGTTAACAGCTCTCTCGAACAATGCCGAGGTGTGTCTAGAGATTTGGGCATATGGCCAGCGCGACAGACAATATTGCTGAAACGTAATGGCTGGCGGAAATAAGGCAAGGATCGCTTTGAATTGACATTCCATGCTGACTGAACAATGTGTTTCAGTCGTTTCTCTACTGTCGACCATGATGAGAATTATTTGATTTTACATGCTTGTTGCTTGTAACTTTTGCTCATGCAAATTTAACAAAATAAAATGCTTATATTAGTTATCATGCATACAAATTTTCACAGAAAACATTCGTCGACCAAAAGATAAATAAGTTTCGATCCCTTAATAATACGCATGAAAATCTACTATATTCTACTTATTATATGCTTCAGTACCACACAGGATCGAGTTTTACTCAATTTAAGTAATTATAAAAAAGTACTGACATTTATTATTCACATTAGAAAAACGGTTCTGTAAAAAACAATTACGTTACTTAAATTGAATAAGAAATTACTCGGAGAGAATAAAAAGTAAAAGTAGATATTACAAAAAACGTAAGATGACGTAATGTGTGGAATTAAAACAAAATTCACAAACAATTTCTAGGATCATCCATAGGGTAACCTTCGCAAAACACATTGTCATTCCAAATTGCAGTTTTGTTTCTATTTCTCGGTGGTATGTACTCGTGACTCATCCACGGCATCCAGTATCCATTGAAATGTTCCGGATAACCTGCTGGGTCGATGTATGTGTTGGTCTGATTGATTAATACTGAACGATAGCTGTCGACAAACTTACTTAAAGCTACTTTGATCTGCAATAAGAATGTTAAAGTGATATCTTAGATTTTTATAAGATTAAACTATTGAAAAATTGTTCTTACATCAGGACGTTCCCCAGCAATATCCGTAGTCTCACAAGGATCACTTATAATGTCAAATAAACAAGTTCTCTTGTTAATGCATTTTGGATAGAATACTTTATGAACGCAAGTAACCGTCGCTTTTTTCCTTAATTCGAGAATTCGATCTTCATTCGGCAAGGTAAAATCAGTAACGTTCAATTTTTTCAAAGCTTGTCCAGCCATTGACAACATGATATTTCTTAAGTCATAACTTGGCGAGTACATATTGTAATCTTGACCATAGTAGTCATAATATTTATGTACATCTAAATAAAATTGCAATATTTAAATAAAATTTATTGTTTTTCATTAATTTCACTTACCTCGAACTAACTTATATCGTCCCATAATAGCCGACTCTGGGCCATACACTTCGTCAATATTAATTAGCATCGAATCACGTTTAGACTTTTGTTGACCAGTAATAGTAGTCCATTGGTCCATACCATCAATATCAGTGATAGTGCTGGGATCACCACCGGCTAATTTCACAAAAGTTGGAAGCCAGTCGGTGATGTGAATGTATTCATCGCTAACTCTTGTGCGATCTTTGATCAGTGGATGAAAGACAAACGATGGAACTCGTATACCGCCTTCGAATATGGAACCTTTCATCTGAAGAATCATCGATGAAGCTTTTTCTTGGAATATACAAAGAGAAAATGTTATCTGTATACTTACCCCGCGGAATGGATAATTAGAACCATGATTCGTATAAGGAGCTATGGTTGTTGGAGATCCATTGTCCGACATGAACAGAATAACAGTGTTTTCTAACATTTTAGTATCCTTCAATGCTTTCACAATACGTCCAACGGAATCGTCCAAAGCCGCGATAACACCTTATTGTTGAACGACGATTAAGTCGAGTATACACAAATAAAGAATGTATCGATAATAAATTTATCTTACCGGCGTATTTTCTTCTGTTAATATCACCGATGTAAGCCAAATTTTGATTAACCTCCGTTATGTTTCGAACTTCCAAAGACTCGATACCCTCGGTCGAGTGACCGGCAAGATGAGCAAGTTGTAAATACAATGGTCTTTGCTTGTCGTGGCGTCTAATTATATCTTCGGCTTCATCACTAATGAAGTCAGTGAAATACTGTCCATTCTGATAAGGCTCAATCCTATGAGGATTATCTTTGTGAAAATCAATACCCGTATGTTTCTACAATGATGAAAAAAAAGCCTCAATCGATATTTGTAAACAATGTGCGTAAATAGAGCGTATATAATACACTTACGTTTTTCGTGACTACGTGATTGAAGTACCGAATGACGCCGCCATAGTAGCCGGCAAACGAATCGAAACCTCTCCTCGTTGGCGTGTGCTGCTCGGTATAGTAACCCAAATGCCATTTGCCAACGAGTCGCGTGACGTATCCTAATTTTTGTAAATACTCCGGGAGCAATTTTTCGCGAAGTGGCACGCCTCGTGGTTCAGCGACGTTCATCGGTATGCCTTGCAAACCTGTATTTATCGTACGTTGAAAAACAGGATCAGTTGACTTATTTGCGTATCTGTTTGTTTGGGGAAAATTGATATTTACCCATTCTGATGGGATGGCGTCCTGTGAGAAAAGCTGCCCGCGAAGGTGTACACGTTGGCATTACGTAGTGACGATTCAAGATCACACTATTATAAGCCAACGCGTCGATATTTGGCGTCGGAATCTCGTTCGAGCCGTGAAATCCTACGTCGTTCCAGCCCTACAAAATTGGTAATGTTTTTGTTTGTTCATATACGAGAAATCCGAGACTGTACTTTTTTCTGTCTGCTGGAAGGTTCTTTTACTTGTCCATATCGTCTACACTTCAAATGTTTGTTCTTTTTTTCTTTTGGTAGTTTGCGAAGTCTCACGAAAAGATTTTGGCGAAATAATGTTTACAATAGCAACGTATTTGATCAAAAATATTATTTTAAATATTCAAGTAAATAACCTTTGTTTCTTGTATTTTTTTGGGCGTTTATTGAAAGAAGAACAAGACATAACAAACTTAGTTGTTTATGAAGTTAACTAGTGGAAATAGGGTCATATAATTTAACCCGAATAATGCATTGCGTTATCTAATAAACAAATTTAAAATCAATTGATGAAATAAACAATTATTTATTTTGATTGAAAAATATCAAAGTGTTTTACCCTGTATATAAGTTAAAAATAAGATCATATGTGTGTGTGTGTGATTTTCATAAAAAAATGACTTTTATACTCACCATGTCATCGCTTATAATCACAACGATGTGTGGTTTGACGATAGGGACCTGTTGTTTCCCAAATTGAAAGAAAGATAACAAATAATAAAAATAATATTGAAATATGTTCATTTTGTGATAGCGTTTCAATAACTAAATAAAGAAGAAAATTTTGTAATCAACGCGTGTTAAGCATGTGGAAAACTGCTCCGGCTTCACGACGGTGAACAGGCCGACTAACTCTTATGTCTCGGACGCTCACGATTATTATGCGACCGGTTTTTTCGATCGAACGAGTACGAGCTCGCCTGAGTACGCGTAAAGTGTTGTTAATCGCTATGAGTCAACAAACGCATCTTTCTTACGGGATCATCATCTCTCTTTTTGGGAGGGGATTTGCTGGCGGGGTCAATGTACCTAACGTCCCCTTCTACATTTCCTTTCTTTTTACTTTTCAAAGAGCCAACGGTTACGACACTGACACACTCAACTCTAATTGCCATTCCGATTGGCATTTCGCGCCATGTATGATTATTGTCATTTGAATATATGTTTATTTACCTTTTTCAAGTTTTGTGCAGTGTTCTTTAACAAATAATATTGCACATTGTTTGAGTAAATTTATCGTTTAGTTGGCGTCGAAACTTTTTATTAAATTAATTTTTTTTCTCTTTCGTTCAATTTACCTTACAAGGCAATGTTATTATACATTTTTCTTGTAAATAACAATCATGAGCCTTTGAACATTAAACAATCTAATTGACAATTATGATTTATAAAATACTCAAAATAACCTGATCATTTCGAATTATTGGTTTACGTAATATTTTGTACAATGCATTTTATAATTTTAATAGTTTTTAGTAATTATTTATAACTTGTTCTAAGCATATCTATTTCAAATTAATTTTTCTAATCGATTAAGTGAATTAACAATAATTGAAATAAAATTTCATGAGATCATAATATCTGCAAAATAGACATGAGTCAACAACAAAATGACATATAATCATTATTTGCAAAGTTTACACAGAAACATGGCCAAGATATAGTTATCTATAGTTATCTGTGTATACAGATATTATTTTTGTAAATAATTTTCCATCGCACTATCACACTCCGTCAATAACTTGTAATATAAATATTTTTTTATCTACAATTATTCTTATTAAAATTCAAATTTGAAATCGGATATTTTGCGTGCAACACGATTCCGCTAGAGTCTAATCAAGGTGATGTCCTATATACTAAAAAAACTCGTCTTAATTGACGTTTTGATTTACGATTGGCGAAATGAATTTTCCTTTCGCGCCAAAGTTCGAATCCACACACAGCTGGAGAAGATGGATAGCAGACTCGGAGAGGAAGCGAGTATACAGGCGTTGTTGTCGCTATACATAGGCAATAACTTACTTCTATGGCATTTCAAAGACATGGCCTTATAAATTACTTTTTAATTAATACGTATACAATCTGCCAACAAATTGCATGATTTTCTTTTTTTCTGTTATACTTTCAGAAATTTTTTTCCTTTGTATTTGTTCGAATGTTAAACGACAGTGCGTAAATATAGCTTGCAACTATCGCAAAAATTTTGTGCTGATCTGGAATGCTGTCTGCATCATTATTTACTCTCGTCATATAGATTTTTCATTGGTAAGAAAGACTTACGATTGTGTAAGATTTAATAACCTTATGACAATTGTGACACTTTACCAAGTTTTTACCATTTTTCATTTTAAAATATGAATATAAAGAAATATTTATATTATACCATTTATTTGTACATTACAGGTGAGCAAAACTTTCAGAGGTCTGCAATAAGCACTTTTGCGTGAGTTGGTAAACTTCTCCATAATGAAACATATCAGCATATTATGAAATCAAACAACCGAAGACGCGCAAGTAAATTTGTTTTTTGAAAAGCTTCCTGATAATCGATGTGAACTTTTGAACTTCAAAACATAAAAAAACTAGAGAGAGAGAGAGAGAGAGAGAGAGAGAGAGAGAGAGAGAGAGAGAGCGGAAAATGTTCTATTCGTTGATAGAGTGACAAGTAGCCACTTCGGCTGATCATGCGCCTTGCAGCCCCTGGGGTGGTAGAGACTAAGGTTTGTCGTGGAGGGGGTGGTCGGCTGATGGTAGATGGCGGTGAAAATTTGGCGCGCTACGAGCTCCTAGCTCGCCAGTGCGACGCGCGAGGCCTAGATGACAGGATCACGTCGCCCTCGCCCCCGGGGTACGAGATTTATATACACAGTAACAAAAAATACCAACTATTGTCGAAACAATAAACGGCACATGCGCGCGTGTTTTTCATTTCTTTTTTTCTCGTTTATAACTTGCGCCTATATTCTTTGTGTGACTGTTACATATGCAAGACGGGAAAACTGCTCTGAACGATTATACCACAGCGATGCGATAGATATGAACAGGTAATTATTGAATGATTATATACCTTCGTATTTGGTGTATTAATGTTGCTTTTTTTGGAAAACCATGAAGTCTTGTTAGGCAAATAATAACGGAGATTTATCGATTGGTATGATCGTTGTTTACAGTTAGTTCTAAGAATATAACATTAGTTCTAGATGACGCCTTAATATACGTGCAAAAAATATATATATATCAGTATTCAATGATAACTAAATTAAGCTGATAAGAACATAAACTTGGAGGTTAGTCACCGAACTTTTCATGCACAGTTATTTGATGTCGAGAGTTTGACAAAAATCTCATCAACATGAGCTTAAGTATGCGCGCGTGCGCATAAAAATTGCATCTGACGCGGGTATAAGTTTTTTTCCCTCTCGTCTTTTTAATAAAAAAAACGTAATGTGCCCTCTTTAATGTACACATTAGAGCTCACGCGATGACTTTTGCAAGTGCACATCAACGCGAGCACACATAGTTAGCGGCGACATTTACATATGCGCATTTACGCGATAAAATTATTAATATGAAATTGTCCAAATGCAAATCAAACACTCATTTGTTTAGAAATGACGTTGATTATTGTTAATTTTCTTTTGTCGTGGCAGAACAAAACAATGTCATTATTTGACATGTCGCTATCGTTAACATATCACCGCATAAAAGATAAGCAGAGGATTTATTGGAGTATCTGTGCTTTGCTATTGATTGCTAAGTTTATGTATGTGCAGCTATGTAAAACTGTCTGCCAGCGAAAACCTTATATCGTGTTTTTAGTTTAATAACAATCAATTTTTATTTTACGATTACATGCATAACGTACCTTTTGGCATTTGTTCAAGCGTGAACACGCATACAAAATACGCATAAAATATCACATGGCAAATGAAAATTATTGTTTTCGCCTTTTCATTGTTGATATTCACTATTATTTACCATTCCACTGATACTCTCATAAGTTGTTTACAGTCACAAAATTGTACTATACAACGAACGTGAAAAGAAAGAAGTCTATGTCGAAGGACACTAAATATAATCACAGGCGACAATTAGTCGCAAGTAATCGATCTCACAATAAAATTGAGGCTAATGCCACGCTTTACAAAACATACAGGCATCAGACAGTGGAACGAAGGAACAAAACCGTACGCGTTAACGTCCAGTATTTGCTCGTGCGTCATGGATAAACATACTTTCGACTTAAATATCAAAGTTTAATGCGTCTTACGAAGACAATATTGTCCACGGCATATAGAGCCTAAGGGAAAAAATGTATATAGACTTGTACATAAATCAAGAGTTATCATAGCTAAACGACTATGCGGATCGATGCGCTACAATCAATCCGCTCCCTATTTCTTTGGCCGCTATATACTAGACGGAAGTTCCAATGCTATAGACAATGGCTGTATATTCTGGTTCACGCCGCTCTAATGCAATTTTGTAGTATACGATCGAGTGTTATAATTGTGACTGATAATGGACGAATAACTTTCCTCACTTTTTCTTTCTTTTAGACTGCCATCTAATTGCAATAAGATGCGATTAAATAGGGATTGATCACTGTTACTGATCATTTTTCTGTAGTTCTCTGTTGTTGCGAAATTGGGTCAGCGGCTTTAATCGTTATTTCCTTGAAATTTTCAGGTTTACTAAACATCGTAAATGACAGAGAGATTCATTAAAACTACTGTACAGGAATCGAACGTTTTTAATATAAAGTTGTAAGATATTTAAAAGGTAGTGAAATTATTACATATTCTCTTTCAAAATTAGCTTACCAAATAAAATTGAATACCTACTAAAATAAATTAATGGAGATTAAAATATTTTATAAAGATTTGTATAGAGAAATGCATTTCACATATCATAAAAATCTACAATATTACTTTTTTGCAATTAAAAAGAATTAGGAATTTCCATTGTCCATTTTTATTTGTAATTTATTCACAGGTATATCAGAGTTAATGTCGTTATGATCTATTTATTTCTTTTTTCTCCGTGATAAATATTTACCCTCTTAGGCGATATTAAAACTACGTGTTTATGTTTTTGAACTTATCCAATTTAAAACTTATTACACCGCTCTATTTTTAAACGGAAACAAAACACTAAAACTGCCGTTTTTCACGCTGACATCTGACGTTTCCTAAAATATTTTAGCTAATTTTCATACAAATCGTAAATAACATTCTCGCCTCTTACATCCTTAGAAAATGAGGCAGAAAAGCAAACGGAAAAAGAAGAGGAAGGCGAATCCTCGCGAAAGAAAAATTCTTGGAGTTTCTTTGCCAAGAATGCATTATTTCGCGTCTGCGTTACAAAATATCCATCACCTCGAGGCGTATTTAGGTGTCTGCAATTGCAGTCACATTTTGATGTTTTTTTCATTTTGCTAGAAAATCTCGAAGGCAAATAGGAGTTTTGATTGACATCTGGATCGACTGCTTAATTAATATAGATCAATTAGGTGCGCAATGGCATTGAATGATAGGTTATTGGTGACTTTAATCATAATTTTGTTAAAAGATGAGTTTTCATTATTATAATATAAATTTTTTTCTACTAATTACTGTAAAACCATAAATATTTTTCCATCTATAGTTTTAATCTTTCCATAACAATAACAAAAATTGTATAAATTTATTTCATTATTCTACTCGATTGAAATATTGATCGGTATGTTATTCGCAAGTGCT